GGCTGAAGTACAGAGAAAGGGGCAGAGCTGCAATTTAAAGCAATGTGTGTTTGTCTACAAAGTCCTCACTCTCAACTCCAACAAATTACTGGTCATGGGTCTAGAGAAAGGTATTCTATATGTACAGGGCAGAGGGGGATAGTAGATAAGAGGCAGATGGAAAAGAGGACGGTAAGTGGCGGGTGGTTAGAAAAGGTGTCATAATAATGACACAAAGTTAGTTTTAACACTGTCTACTATTAGACAGGATTTCTATATCAGAGCAAAACCAATAAACTCATGAGACATGAATATGGCATATATGCATAATACATAAATAAACATGGGGAACTAAAAGTATAGCAGTGAGACAAGATTTGGGCCAAACAGGGCAGAGGAAGCGGCCTGCAAAGAAAGATTCTCAGCTCTGAGGTATAGAGCCTCCCACATAATGGTGCTCAAGAATATCTATGGAGGGCCTCCCCGGTGGCGCAGTGGTTGAGCGCTGGGTTGCGAAGCTGCCCGCGGCCTCTGCAGCGCGGGTTCGATCCCCAGCTGCTCCCCGGCCACCAGAGGAGGGTCCCACATGGCGCGCAGACCTCTCCTGCCGCCCGCTGCTCCCCTCAGCAGTGTACTTTGGTCCTTCTGCCTGCTCTGCTCCCCACTCTGGCTCTGGTGAATTCTCTCACCCTCCCGCACTTCTGACTGTACCCAGTACATGTATAAACAAAACAAACAAACAAACAAACAAATAAATAAAACATGCCTCTATATATAAAAAAAAAAAATTAAAAAAAAAAAGAATATCTATGGAGTGAAAGAAATGAAAGCAAGTAGGAAAAAAAGAATGGAAAGGGGCAGGCAAAAAGAAAGAAAATTAGAAAAGGAGGAAGGTAATAAGGAAGTAGGAAAAAAATGAAGGAGATGAAACAAATGGCAGAAGTAAACAGAAACGAGGATTTCATTTAAAAATATATATATGTATTTATATTGGGTTGTTGGAAAAGTCATGACACATTTATCCTGTTTTCCACTACACTTAATATTAATAACACTATAATTTAGTACCATGGTTTAAGTAAAAAGACTTCCAGCAAACTTCATGGACTAATAATATTAAAATGCTGAATAAGTCAACTGTCATCTTTCCATTGTAGTTCTCTAAAATGAGAAAAATTCTTTTATGAAACCAGACTAGTATCACTTATAATGATAATACCAGAGACTACAGGGTCCCTATAATCCTCATATTAACTTGGTAATACGAGAAATAATTACTCAGCAAGGAAAAAAATGTCAAATGTATTTCAGGAGAGCGGGTAACCACTTACTAATTAACTTAATATTTCTGTTCACTTGCTTGAAACTACTTGAAATTTAGGTACCCAAACACTGTTCTTTTTTATGTCTACATAACAGTCTCATTGAAGAACTTTATAGCAAAATTTAACTTTATACTCCATTTTAGGTGCATAAATTTAAAATGTAATCAAATGACCACAGTATAAAAATATCCTTTTCTGGCTCAGAATAGCTCAATCTATCATTAAAATTAAAAAATGAATTAACACTTTATAAAAATAGGTTAATGGAATTAGAAATTAGTCTTCCTGTTTTATGTTGTCCTCTCTCCTCTCATCCACTTGCCAGAAGAATTTCAAATGCAATTCCCCTTGAAAGCTACAAAATTAATAGGCTAATGGGCAGTTACCATTTTTGTTAAAGTAGGCTGATTCTATTGAATTTATATCTTGATCCTTTTGTCATTGTTGTTTCTGCATAATTTCCTGACATTAAAGGAAAAAAAATCAAGGAGAGCCAGCTGGGCTAATTTCTGCAACAATTTTCCAAGTATTGTTTTCCCTTTTCAAGATTTAAAATCAAACAAAAATGTTTCTCTGGATTTCTAATGAAAAAATGAGCAATAAGTTCTGAAATTTGTAGTAAGCCAAAGGAACTCATTACTGTGTTATGAAACACATTAGCACACTTTGATCAATACATTAGCTGCACAAACACAAATATGCTACAGTGATGTCACAATGTTAGCAATTCTGCCTGGCCTATGCTAAAAGGTAGTAAGACAGAAAAGGCGTGAAAGCATTAGGGTATTTGGAGAAAAGCCAAATACCTTCAATACTCCCCAGAAATGGCACTCTCTCAACTTTTCTGTACATATGCATAAATCCCCTGAACACAAAGAAATCTTTGAAATTTATTCTTATTCTTTTATGTAGTTAAAAATTAATGAACAAGAAATTAAAGAGAAGTGACTGTAATAAAGTTAGAATATTCTAACTGAAAAACAATTATAATAAAACTATTTACACTCCCATAGAATTATAAGCATTTTTCAAAGGATATTTTGCAATACAATTTTTTAAACAATGTTTTCTTCTTCTTACTCCTGAGACTTAAATACTGCAGGTTTATTTTACATTAAAAAAGTTATTAAAGTGAGAATTTTCCTTTGTCAGAAAAAAAATCTGTGATTTAAAGTAAAATGTAGAATGCTTAGATTTTTCTTCACATTTGTATGCTTCATCTTGCAACTAAGAGGATTGGTTTTCAACTATATGTAATTGACAGAAAATTGTGTTTAAATGGTAGCATTAATTAATTCTGGGAATTTAATCAGTCAGACTTCGGTGATACACAGTTCTTTGTATAGAACTGGAAAAATACCAATTTTTTTATAAATGTGCTCACTACTTTTCCACTGTTTTCACCTCCTCTCAAAATTATATTCATATTTCACAGAAGAAAAAGCAATTAGCTTAATTCTTATCCTGAAAGAGAGATCACTTTTTTAAAGGAAATAAGTTGCCTATCTAGTTTTAGATATTTAATCAAACAAAACCTGTAACTCTAAGAGACAACTTTAGGGCTTTCACTAAGAAAAATCCCCTCTGAGTGGCTGGCTCAAACTCGACAAACTTGAACTGTGCAGATGTTGAAGCAACTCTCAGTTACACTGGGGAAGAAAGAAGAGCTAGACATTCCACAGCTGCCTACACCAGCTTCCTTCCCAGGGGCACAGTTGCAGGCTCTATCAAGCTCAATCACTTTGTACAGCAACTGGGCTCCCAGGCAGGGGCCAAGGAATCCCAGAGCAGCTTAGATTTCTTCCAGTACCACAGCAAGAAGTAAGACTACTTAAAGAGTAACCAGCTATTTCCAACAATGGCCCCAGGCCAAAAGGCAGGGGGTAGGGAATGTGGGGAGAAAGAACACATAGAATAGGAGAAAATAAAAGATGCTTCATATTTTTGAGACTTTCAAGATATTTACAGAGCATCTGCCTTGGGTCTTTGTTATGAAAATGACTGAACATTTGATCTTCATTCCTGACCAATTTTTTTATTTGAGGGGTACAGAGAGGATGGTCAGGTCAAAGAAACATAAAACTTAATTAATAGTAAATCCAACAATTGGAATGTACCCAACTCACTGCAGAGTTTTAGAGGAATGAGATGCATATGACAATGATACCATGCTTAAGATAATACATTCTTCCATTTTACACGGTCCTAATCTCATGGGACTTTTGGCTTATTAGCATTGCAATCCACTACATTCTCCTAGTTCTTCTGAACATTTGAAAGACTAAAATAATTGTATTAATGATATGGTATAACTGCAAACAAGTAACCAGCAAATATTCTTTCCTATTTGCAGGTACTAATGCTATGTCAGGTGCTATTTCCTTAGGATAAATCAGAAAGGAAGGAACTATAAACATGCAGTTTCATGAATTTAACAGAAATATACAGGTTACCAATGCCCACAAAGTTGTCCTTTTATACTAATCATCTAGTGTAGTAAAAAGACAAGAGGTACATGCACATGTTTTGGTAATATCTTGAATTTGTAATACTCTTATCATCATTAATTCCTACTTATTCAGAAAACCATTATTATTCTCTCTTAGCAGCACTTGCAAGATACAATAACCAAAACAATAGTGATATTACCATTTATTATGGGCTTGTTATTATTTAAGCACTAGTACTAAGAGTTTTAGATAAATTGTTTGATTATCCCATCACCATATTATCCCCATATTAGAGATGAAATTCACTTTTAAAGTCACTGAGCTAATAAATGATACAGCCAAAATTTAAACTTTTTGACCAAAGTCCATGTGCTAGTTGTTATGTTTTTACTGACTTCACTGAAAATGACATTGTACACTAATTTGAAACATCTATATGATGTGAGTTCAGTCTCACTTATATTGCTTATAATCACCTTTACTTCTCTAGCTGTTGGTTTTCTAATAGCTAGTAAAGGTTAATTTCAACCTATGGTATTAGTAATGCAATTATTCCCTGAATGTTTTCATATTCTAAGTGTCCTAAGTTTTAGATGCCCACCCTTCTGTTTTAGGCTGACTCTCACAACTACAAGTCAAACAGCTAATAGACAATTTTATGTTACATAACAGATACTGAGGCTATAAACCCTAAATCTGCCTAAAAACATAGAATAAAAAATTTATTCATACCCAATGATAAAATAATAAGAAAACTTCAAGCCTCAAAAGGCCTTTGTTTATAGTTCAACAACATTCCTCCAAGACAATGCAATCCACTACAGCAAGGAGGAATATATGAGGCAGAAGTTGTTGACATATGGGGTGTGCATAGAACTTCTGGTTAATGGAAGTTCCAAGATGTATAAATAAAAAATGATGTGTAAGTTGGTGGAAAAAACTGTAAGGCAAGTCAATTTTTTAATTAAAAAATTATGTAGCATAAACAATGCTAATGAGCCAAAAGTCTCATGAGATTAGGACCGTATCTGCTTCATTTTAACATTCCATTCACTTTTCATAAGTGTACATCCACTCACTTGAAAACCCTCAAGCAGAACCCTTTTTGTAAAATACAGTTTTGAAGATTTTCTTTGTTCTTGTTCTTAATAGCTCACCATTTTTTACTCAAGTTGTCAGCTTGATAATATATGGCATTTTTTTAAAAAGCCCTAAAATATTTAAATGAATCACCAGAAATAAATACCTGGAAGTTCTTCGTAAATTTCTTCAATTGGGTGATAGCTTGCTGATGAAACACTGCCTGGTAAAGGAACAACATCATCATATAATTCTCCTTTTTCATCTTCATCCACAGGAATAATGTCCGATCCCATATCTAGAAAACATGTTTCATGAAGTAAAATTTTAAAGAACACAAAAGGACTTTCAAAACATTATTCCCTAAATTAATGCAGCCTTAAAAAGTCACAATATATCCCTACCTAAAAACATTTTATAAACTTGATTACTGCATAAATATGTAAATTTCAAAATTGCCAACTGATACTTATAGAAAAATATACTTTTATAACTATGTAGTGAATGGTCTGAATTAATACCAGTCATACTCCCTTGGTCATTCTCAGAGTCCATAAGCTTTTGTCTATAAAAGTCCAAATCATTCGGTTATTCAGTATTTAAAGCTTGCAATATCTTCTTCAATTGATTGCTCTTACCTTGTAATATAAATTTCAGATGTTGTACCCATTCCTCAGCATCTTTGGGAGAAGCTGCTGTAAACTAATAATAATGAAAAAAAAAACCATGAAAAATAACCACAGGTTATACGGGATTCTTATCATTTCTTTAAGACCATTAGTAATTCTTTTCATGTCTAGTGCTACTTTTCTTGCAAGGATGCTTCTTATAATGTACAGTTAATTTTGACAAATTTACGTAATTGAAGCAGAGGATGATGGATTTGAAACTCTGATCAGCAGCTGGCAGCTGTGCAGGAAAAAAAAGCTGCTTCTCTTCATCAATGTCAAAGACAGAACTGATGAACAAAATTTGCCCTTGACAATTAGAAGACACCCATGAATTTCTTTAGACTGCTGGGTACAGTTTTCTTAAAAATGTTCTTGTCAGATTCCAACACACTACCTGACAACTTAATTAACTGGCTTTCAACTGTAATCTCAGATATTTAAAACTTATTAAACATACATTCCATATTGATGCTAGCTGATAGCTCTTGAATTGCAGGGCTGATATATGTCTTTACTTTCATTTTCTCCCACAACACTAAGCAATGCAATATGGATTAACATCCTGATATTTTTCTTTTGATAATTTTACTCTTTCTGATATGTAATTCTTTTAGGAAATCACAAAGTTCTATTATAATAGATATAAAATGCAACATGAGAGTAATTGATAAATTACATATCCATTTGTTCTTTTTAAAGAAGATATCACTTGAATTAATCTGAAAAAAACTGAAATATATTTCTTCTTATATGAATATTCATTGTATGAAAGGCAATATTTTTTAATATCCCTAACATGTCAGGGAGAGGTGTTTTCACAAAATGTTAATGTCTTTATAAATGAAATCAGGACATTTTATCAATTCAATTTCAAGGCAACAGAAAAACTCCAACCTGATAGATACGTTTATCAGGAGCAGAGATTTCAAAACAGCAATCTTTCTTTGCATCCTTCCTAAGAGTGTTATTCATTCTGACACTGTAGCCATCTATTGCAAATTCTCCCTTCTGTTGTTTGTCTGTCGAAGATACAACAAAAGTTAGGATTTCATTTCTACAGTGAATATAAATTCCAATCAGTTATCATTTTTTAATTGTCAAATCTTTAATATTTTATCTGTCTTTACACATAGATGAATTCCTCAGTGATTGCATATAAGTTAATTTTTTGCTATTTTCAATTTAATTTTTAGCACAAATTTAAGGCAACCTTTAATGTTATTTTGAAGAACTACACAATGAGTATTCCTTTTGCCAAAATTAAGTAAAAAGACTCTCAATTTCTCTTCTATATATAAAAGGAATACAAATGTGCATGTATTTATATCTATGTGTTTGTATCTTCTATGAGCTTGTGTTGAAAGGATTGTATCTTTGTTGGAAAATGCAGATAATGGAGGCTCCAGACTAGCTGTAAGGTTTCCATGCTTAATTTAAAAGAGAGGAGAAAAGGTTCAGTTACACACACAAAGTAGTTGCCACTAGGATTTCATCTTCATTATCTGTACAACATTCAGTCAGTCAGTATTATAGCTTTATAGTACAATGTTTAAATGGCATCTTCAAATATCACCTTAAATTCAAAGACTATAAATGGATTTGGGGTGATTAAGTTTAAAAGGCTACTTTAGGGAACCAGAGAAAGAGACCCATAGTTAGTGGTTTCATTCAGAAAGAAGCATGGAAAGATGACACTTTCATGGAAGGGAAGTCCAAGAATTAAACCTTAAAACTTCCTAGAAAACTCATGACAAACTCATGGCTCTTTCAGATTTAGTAAACCAATGGGAAAAGCTGTCAGTTGAAATGTGCTGGGCTTTATTTGCCACTATCTCCTCTCAACACCAGTCCACCTCACTACCCCACCCCACCCTCCAAGTCTCTAAAATAAAGAATGAAAAAAACTTTTCCAAAAATGTATAACTCTAACTTTTTTTTAATTTAAATTTTATTTTTATATTCCCCATACAATTGCAACCCCCTTATTTTGACCCCAATCCCTCCTTTCCCCGGCCCCCACCCCCTAAAGAGTGTCTCTGGTTCATAGTTGTTTGTTGATTTTGATATTTTCTTTCTTATAGTTATTCTTTTTCCTGGTTCCTTATTTATGTTTTCTAGATTCCTGCTATGAGTGAGACCATCCGGAATTTTTCTTTTTCTTTCTGGCTTATTTCGCTGAGCATGATCCCTTCCAGCTCCATCCATGTTGCTGCAAGTTGCATGTGTTTATCTTTTTTGAATGCTGAGTAATATTCCATGGTGTATATGTACCACATCTTCTTGATCCGGTCATCTATTTTTGGACATTTGGGTTGTTTCCAAAGCTTAGCTATTGTAAATAGTGCTGCTGTAAACATAGGGGTGCAGGTGCCCTTTGGAATTGATGTTTCTGTCCTTTGGGTAAATTTCTGTCCTTTGGGTAAATACCTAGGAGTGGAATTGCTGGATCATATGGAAGCTCTATGTTTAGTAGGTCCAGAAATCTCCACACAGCTCTCCATAGTGGTTGGACCAGTTTGCACTCCTACCAACAGTGCAGGAGAGTTCCTTTTTCTCCACAACCTCGCCAACATTTGTATAACTCTAACTTTTGAACTAGTTGAAACAAGCTTAGCTAGTCAAGTATATTTGAATCCCATATAATGAATAAAAAAAAGAAGATTAGAGTTTCAGTCAGATATAATTTTAAATACACAGTAGGAATACAACAAAGGATTTCATACTCTGACCCTGAAAATAAAATTAGTCATTACTTTACCTAGTTATACCATTTTTATAGAAAAGCTGCAAAGCTATAGGTTTATTTATTAGGTTAGCACACAATATTAAGATCATGAGTAAGGTGAACAGTCTCTTTTACTGAGCTCAGGGGAAATAGAGAAATGCTTCCATATGGCAAGATGAAGAGTTCTCTTAGTTTAGTGTACTGGCAGATATATATCTCTTTTTCTCAAATATACTAATTTAATGCCTGAAGTAACATATATTTTTTAAATGTCATGGACATGATATAATTTTCAAAACATCAAATGAGAAAAAACTGACTTAGAAATTTCTGACTTAACCCTGGACCTTCTAATAATATTTAGAAATAATGGATGAATGCAAAAAACAATTCAAATTTTAAAATTTGAAGTTTACTTTGTAGAAAAAAGTCTACAATGAACTTCTGTGGGTTCAAAAAAACTGTATTTTAAAAATTAGAGCAACATTTCCCAAAGTGTGTCCTTATGATCAAGTAAGTTTGGAAATACTCAATTCAACAGGTGTTAATTCAGGCTATCTTGAGGCCCTTTTTATAAGAAAGATTTAGTATGCAGCATTTCCCAAAGTTATTTGTCAACAGAATTCTTTTTTTCCTACAACATTTTATGAAGCTGGTACTCACTCCCAGGACATATTTTGCAAAAAAACCAACTAGACAAACAACATTGGGGAGAAAGTATTAAAATAATGAATGGTTAAGCACAGGAGTTCTAAAATTCTCAAAGAAGACTAAGTCATTCACTTACTCATTAAATAAATTTACCCTGTGATTTAAAACAAACAAGGGAACATTATTGTTTAACGAGACAAAACTAGTAACATGCCAGCTAGCAGAAGCTTACGAAGTACCAAAATCCTATAAATTTTAGTCATTATAATAGAAATTTTCCTGAAACATATACTTTCCTAACTTCTCAAACAATTCTTTTAAACATTTTTTGATGATACAGTAGTTTAATTTGAGTATTTTATATTAATAACACATTGATGCCTTCAGGATTTAAGGTGTTTGTCCCTCTATTAAATTTCCCTCAGCTTCTATTTCACATTTTAACCTTGCCTATATCATGCTGTTCAAATTTTATATCTACAGAACTGAAGGCTGCCAGGAGAAACTGGATAATGAAATCTATTAAATCAGTAACTTAATTTTACACAATTCTAATTCAGTAGGTTCAAGGTAAAAAACAGTTGGCTCCGATCTCTTACAAAGCAAAACTCATAAAATTAAGGATAACTATTTCCTTCTACTTTTTCACTGGCTTTTGGATTTACAGCTGTGTTATAAGGCTTTTAGATGTTAAAAAGACAACTCACATTTACTGAGCTCCTTTTCTATGCCACGAATTTAATATAGCATATCTTGTATATACCTTGCAACAACTCTGAGATAAGGTATTTATTATATCCCCCCATAGTGATTAGAAAACAAACCTAAAAAAAAAAAAAAAAAAAAAAACAACTTTTTCAGGCCTCCCTGGTTGCGCCCGCGGTTGAGTGCAGCACTGTGAAGTTGTCCGCAGCCTCTGCAGTGCAGGTTTGATCCAGGCCGGCCGGGGAGATACCCATATGGCATGCCAGACCTCTCCTGTCTTACCTGCTGCTCCCCTCAGCAGTGTATTTCAGTCAGTCTGCCTGTTTTGTTCCCTGCTCTGTCTCTGGTGAATCCTCTCACCCTCCCTCACATCTGGCTTGTACCCTGGTTCTTGTATAAATAAATAAATCTTTAAAAAAAATTATTTGGAAAATATATGGAAAAAAAAACTTTTTCATGGTCACATAACTAATGAGGGGTAAAAAAACACAATCCTATTGTAAGTCTGATTTCTAAGGCTTGTTTTTTCAACCATATCACAGTTTCCTAGAAAGGTGCTTCTAAAGTGTATTTCAAGAATCATCTATGTTAAAATCATCTTGGATACTTGTAAAAATGCAAAAACTTAAGACATACATGCACACTTTTGTTCACTACAGCATTATTTATAATAGCTAAGTTATAGAAACAACCTAAATGCCCAAAGACAGATAAATGAAAGAGGAATATGTGGTACATGTACACAATGGAATACTACTCAGCTATTAAAAAAAAAAAGATAAACTCTTGACTTTTGTGACATGAATAGAACTGGAGAGGATTTTGCTAAGCAAATTATTCAGAAGGAGAAAGACAGATATCAGATGGTGTCACTTATATGCGAGAGACGAAACAAAGAATCAGATAAAGCGTTCAAACCTATAACTAACCTTAGAAATATGACTATAGGGAGCCTCCCTGGTGGCGCAAGGGGTTAAGATGTAACCTACAAAGCTGTCCGCAGCCTCCACACTACAAGTTCGATCCCCAGCCAGGGAGCTACCCACATGGTGCAGCAGACCTCTCCTGACTCACCTGCTGCTCCCCTCAGCAGTGTATTTCAATAGATCTGCCTGTTCTGCTCCCCACTGTTTCTGGTGAATCCTCTTACCCCCCCACACCTCTGGCCTGTAACCCAGTTCTTATATGCATATATAAATAAATCTAAAAAAAAAAGAAATCTGACTACAGAATTGAGGCTATTACAGGGGCAGGGAGAAGAAAGTGGGGAGGGGTTCAATGGACTATGGTGGAGGCCATATACCTCTAAATCATAAACCAATGTTATCTTAATAATGTATAGTCCAAAAAAGAAAAAAGAAATTTATAATCATTAAACAGTCCTTATATTCATGAGATCAACTGTGGAAGAGAAAATGCAGAAACTTGCTATTGAGGAATCTCTGGGGGTGGTTTCAGGAAATCAGAATTTTATCAAGTACCCCAGGTAATTTTGATACACACTAATGTATGAAAAAAAAACTTTCTAGAACATGTAAATTATGAAGTCACAGTACACAGATAAACATTATCTCACTTTCCTCCTGTGGACTCCTCTACCTTTGCCTATCAAACATCCATGATGGCCTATGTTTTAACTCCTGCTCTTTCCTTGCTTTACAGCTCTCACTAGGCAATCTCACCCACACCCGACAATCAAATTCCTGTCAATATGCTTAGTACTCATAATTCTCTATTTTTACTCCAGCTTCAGCATTGTATATCCAAATCTTCATCTGTTCATCATGCATGTCTTATCTCTTGCCTGTCCCATAGGCATATTGAATGTAGCAGACCCACAAGGGAGATCATCTCGTCCCCACCCCTCCAACACTTGTACTATGTCCCCCATTTGATTAAATGGCACCTCCATTAACTCAGGCTCCCAGCCAGAAAACA